ATAATAGATCCATACATAAATAATACTTCTAGTCTTCACGAACGGTCATCAACCTCTACCGCGCAGACGTCAGCCGATGTGACGTAGCCGGCTGAAAGCTATGCCGATCCTGCTCCAGTCGCCATCTTGAATTGTGGAGCAGAATCGGCACAACTATTCTACTGTCGCAGATAGTTTTCGAAAGGTAGCTAGTTGTTCCTGATCCCTGGTTTGCATATCTTTCAATGTGTTTGGTTAGTAATGGGACAAACTCTGCTATTAATTCTAGAAGCATATTGTAATTTCCACTGTGCTGGTCACCAAATTTTTCATTACTTCCTCTAAAAGCGGAAGACCTCTAGAAGCTAATCCTTTTATTACAGCAACAACCCTCTTTAAAATGTTCTTCCAGTAAGAAATTTCTTCGTTAAGTTGGGCAGTTAAGGAAGATTGGATATTGCCGCGAATCATACCCCAAGCTCTTAAAGCGAGAATGCAGGATTTATGATTTAGAGAGTTTTCGTGTTGAGCTACTCGAACTTCTGCATTCTTTCAATCATTGAATCCTTCCTCGTCAAACTGTGTCCTGTTCGCAATAGATCCAAAGGCCAAACAGGGTCCACAGAATACGGAGAATACGCAATAAAATACTTACATTAGGCAAACCACTCACGCACATTCACACTTACAGGTTCTGTCAAATAGACAGATGGCGCCCAGGCAATAATTACGGACAATCAGACATTCATACACCCAAACACGAGTCACACCCACTCAAAAATTAAGTCTAACACACACATACGTTTCCCAAATCAAAGGCTAGCTGGACAAACGGGCGAAAGGAAGGTTAGGAACACTCTCATGCTCTCACAACACCCGTTCCGCTGTAAAAATTAGACATCTATAATTTTTTTTTACAAATCCAAAACCGACCCCCCGTAACAAGGTATAATATAAATTTATAATTCTACTAAATAATTCGAATTACCAATTCGATTTTGAAATATGAATTATTACTAATTATTCGATTGTGAAAATAATTCGATTATTCCCAACGCTAATGTAAAGGCCGTCACGTATTTTACAATTCCGGTTCCGCGCCATCTACGTTAGATGTGGGACGGGTTCCATAATACGGGTGGTGCACAATGTTAGTGTGGGATAATTTAGAGTAATTATGGAGTTAATGTAGGTGTTATATTAAAAGTGACGTTATACAGTGTGAGTAAAATAAATGAAACGAAATTAATAAAAATTTAATTTAGATAATAAGGAGTAACTAATTTTTGCATTTCGTTGATGTATTTACTAAAAACAATGAATATATAAATAATGCACTGACCTCAAACATAAAAGTATTAACTTCGTCCTGAATTCCTTTGTCGTCAATACTTTCATTGGTGATTTTGGCATTAAGCAATAAGTCTAACATGGCTAATTTCTTTCTTTTCGAATAATTAAACTCCTCATCGTTTTCGCTGATGGGCACCTTAAATGTTTCAAATTCTTTTGATCTTTCCGCAATCACATTATTTGTAAAATTGTGCAAGATTTTTACCAATCGTTTCTCCTTGTAACCGGGAATCATAAAAAAATAATATAATTTATTGAAATACAGCCAAGGTCTTGTTATTCGGTGCGTTATTATCTTTCCTATTTGATGGGTGGCATCGCAATATGACCTATCTTCTTCATTTTCGACATTTAATTTGGTACCCATTGAAGTTTCTGCCATCCAAAATATTATTAATAATTTGTGAAAAGCCAATTTATTTGTACCCACCGTTGATTGCACCTAAGGTAAACTGCGAAATGTATGGTACAACATTTATATAAGGTTTGTGACAAATTTTCCTCAATTCTTTTACCAAATGATCAGTTTCAGTTGTAAACACACCTACAAATTGCTGCAAGATACTGAAGTGGAAAGCAGGGGTTAATATTTTTCTCCTGGTTTGCCACTTGGACCCTGAAAATAAAGAATACTTATTTTAGTTTTTTGGTTTTATTTTTCAAATTCCAAAGAGGAAATATCAGCTTTATTCATACCAGTACTTGTTAAAAGACCTTCTCCCAACCATAAATCTAAAAATGTATAGAAAATATAGAAAAAGGTGCGGTCTACCTTTTTCTATATTTTTTGTCGTAGACGCAATTGCCTAAAAAAAACAAAACTTTTACTTACACGAGCAAACATTGTGAAAAGGAAAATATTGGGAAGTGTAAAATGGATTCTGGAAATAATAATTTGTGTTCAAATAAAGAAATATTAATATTTTGAAGTGTTTATACCTCAAAATCTTCTGGACTACTTATATTGGCTGAGAAGTAAAGAGCAGTTGATAGCTTGTACACTGGATAATATTCCTTGCTCCATTGTCTAATCTTTTTAAAAAGAGTAGCTGAAAGTATGTGCAACCCAAATATATTAAGTAAGTATATATTTAAATGGTAAATATGACCTACCTTCGTCACTTAGGAGGTCCGGCAAATTTCCCAAAATTGAATACATTTTTGGACCTGGCAGTTTCACTATTAATGTGTAATATCTATTAAATTCTGGCATATATTTAAAACCGAAAATTATTGCCAATATTGCAGTAAGTAAAGTAATAACTAGAAACATTGTACCTAAAAAATATTTAAAATTTTAAATTTACACTTTTTCTCGAATTTGTTAATATTGATTTTTATTTAATAATTTTATACTTACCTATTTGATACTTTTTGGTGTCGCTAAATACTTATAATGTATTATTTCTAAAACTAATTAAGAAAAATTTATTGTGCAGAGAATTAGTGCAATACAGTGAAAATTTGCACATAACTTTAATGCATCTTAGGTGGCTGTTACAGTGGATGTGAATTCGTACGAAAATCTGTAGTACGAAATGTTAGATTAAAACAAACACATGTATTTCTGCTTGAGCGGTAGCACTTGTAACCTCTCTATTCGTACGAATGTTAAAAATTTATATAATTTCGTGAGAAACTGATTTTCATACGAATTTGTTTCTTATGTAAGCGCCGCCTTAAGCTACGTCCAGACGGAGAGATATTGGAAAACGTGTATTGCTCTATGAAGAATATATCAGCCAACATAGAGAGACAACATTTTGAGAGCAGTATAACTGAACCACTATTTCCAAATTAAACTAAACGACATTCTAAAAAATTTGCCGTTTTCAGATTATATATTATTAGCAATTTTCTGATTAGTTATTTATTGAAANTTGGACCCGTTGGAGCAGTTCTTACACCATAAAATCTTCTGTATGCACGTTGAATATTAATTATCGAACGATTATTTTCAAGGAATAGAAAAACAATCTTAGTTCTTTGCGCAATTGTATAGCGTTCCATTTTTATATATTCTCCCAAGTTTAATTCCTGAAATAGAAAAAAAAATATGAAATGTTCACAAGTTACATTTTTTTTTACATCATATAGTTACTTTAGCCGCACCCGGTACATTTTTTTGTGAAGTGACGCATTCCTGAGAACCAGTAGTTGTGAGCTACTAGTTCATATATCTTGCATCCTGTAAAATGCCCTACATCATGATTTAGTCGGACAATTTGAAATCGCGCGCGTCTTGGAACAACCCAACGGGGACCATATGGCGTAGTTTTATAAACCTTGCCACCCTTCATATTGATTAAAAATATATTTGTGTTCTTCATATAGTAGGATCGTATTCGATGCAAAGTAAAGCAAATTTAAAATGAAATTGAATGTAAAACCTGAAATACCGCATCGTACGGATTGTGTTCTGGTACTAGCTGTAGTCGCCCAGGTGCATCGAGTGAACGAAGTAGTCGGTTGTACGTCAAATACTAAGCTGGCGAGATTGATCGTAAATCAGAGACCGCCTCCAAGATACAAGTAAACAAAAGTGACGGGTACAGAGGTAAAATGCAGTATATATGTGGAAATTAAAAAACAAATTGGATTTATAATAAATTACATTTAAAATAAATAGTTCATGAGAATAAAGAAATTTTTGTAGGAACGGGGGTGCCAGACGTGAACTGAGCCCTTCATCGCTTCATAATGCATAAAGAAATTATTCAATTTTTAAACCTCTTCAAACCGTACTGCATTGAATCCCTTGACAGGCAATGATTTTATTACTTTGCATCGAATATGATCCTACTATAGTTGCCTGTTTCCAAAAGTTCACTAATTTTTCTAATATCATCATGCTGTTGAGCTGCCAAAAGCCAATCAGCCTCAGTTACTGGTACGATATTAACATACCGAATATTACTTGTATCCTCAGTATTGGTGGTGATTTACCGCATCATCATGGTGCCTTTAAGACACTGTTTTATTTCATATCGATACTCGCTAAAGTGCAAAACCCAGCGCGCAATCCGTTGATTTAAAACTATTTTTTTTAGAAGTACATACAAAAGCAGCACAATCAGTAAATATGGTAAAAGGCCTGCCGTACACGCTCTAAAAATTTTTTGTTGCTACAACTGAAATTGTGGTTAATATGAGCACATATTGAATGAATGAAAGTAATAAAATATAGATCAACTTTAGTGAAATAAAGTCAGATATCAAATTTTCTTATACATACAAACATCCATCAGGACCACAAAAAATTAACCGTACAATTGCATTCTAAAATTTGCCTCCCTGTAACTGACTCTTTTATGATTTCTCCTAAGCTCTAAATTAAAAAAAAACAATTATTAATTAGTTACAATTTAAAAAATATTGGCATTTTTTTGTATTATTAAATATGTATGTGTAACCAAAAAGTGGTTAAGTCACACTTTTTAGTTTCTGAGTTATAGCTGTTTGAAAGTTTTAAAACTTTCCCACACCTAAATTTTTTTGTGATCATCATGTGTATAATTTTTAATTAAAACTTGTACCTTTAGTCAATATAGTAATATACAACATATAATTAAAAATTTATTTGATTACGACAAAAAAAATTTTGAAAATCTGGACAGCTACTTTTTGTAAAAAAAAAAGTTCAGAACATGAAAATTAGAAACTTTTGCTTTATTTTATCAAAACTATAAAAAATTATTGTAATTTGTTTACACGCTTTCTTAAGTAGGTTACAAAATAAAAATTCAGATTAATCCAAAATTTTATTTCTTAAAAATTAAAGTATACAACAGACTTTACTCATAAATATCAGTATCACTTTCAATGTATTGTTCGTCATCCGCGGTGTCATGGTGGTTGGCCGAAGTCACATTTTCAACGTTAATAAGGGTCCTCGTGTAGAATTCAATATCGCTCGAGATAACTAGTTTCATAAGTTTTGTAACAGACTCAAACTTTTTAGGTTTTATTTTCAAGTAACTGTCGCCGTAAGCCAGTTTAGGATTACTAGAAATTTTTCTGTTCATACCCACTTTATAGAGTTACCCGTATTGTTGCATGTTCCTGTCATAGACTCTCTAGTTTGAATGGGTTTTCCGCTTTCAAATTTGGCGAACCGTGTCTTAGAAATACCTGGTACCGAAGTCTTGACGTATGGCACAACCCATTGTTTATAATCTTTGACTTTAAGGATTCTATCGCCTGGAGCTAGCTCTCCATTTGATCTGAGGCTGTGTTGAACAAATACGACCTCAAAGGAATTTTTTTTTCTGCACGTCTTGATTAATTCAACGTAAATCTCAGGGTTGTCAACCACTTCTAGTTTTAATCTTTTTTTCTCGATGGCACCAAAGTCTCTATCAACTGGCATCATAGAGTGCCCTGGAACAGGATACCATACTTCAATATCGTTAAAAACGTTACGTTTGCATAACTGGTCTAGATAAGTAAAAAGAATTCGATTTTTTTTTGGCTATATGCGTGATCACAAACATTTTTTAGCTTTGTTTGTAGCGGATCCTTGTGTTTTTCAATGTAATCAGACAAACACGTTATAACTTCATTCGGTCCTTTTTGGGACTCCGTGTAAGTATACATTATTGCTTTATGAGTTTTTAGGTTGTGAATACCAAAAACATGTAGCCATAACTGACTAATATAATATTCATCTTGTGCGTTAGTCACAGGCAAAGGTAGATTTTTTTCATAATCAAAACATATTATCATTTCAGAAGAATCTGCTGATTTTTGAACTTCGGCTAATTTGCTTTTGAACACGTCTGCTTTTCTAAGATGAATTTCCTTATCTCTTTTAAGAGTTTTTAAAGTTTCTTCATTAGGTTCCAGTTCAGCTTGCCTTATACCGGGTGGCCCAAAATTACCGAAGGGGTTTGAGTTCATTATAACTTTTTATTTAAGACATAATTATAAAAAATTTTTTTTTAAATACAGTAGGAGAATATTTTTAATTTAATTATGAAAAATTATATCTCGCAAGTGGTGGCCATTTTCTGCTTCGCATATTCGTGCTCTTTCCAAAACATTTTCCATAACCTTTCGCAAAACTTCAGGTGTTATGTTGTTGATTTCGTCACGTATATTGTTTTTTAATTGCTGGATGGTTCTAGGCTTATTAATATAGACTTTTCCTTTCAAATAACCCCAAAGGAAAAAATCTGGAGCGGTTAAATCCGGTGAACGCGGAGGCCAATTAAAATCGCTGGTACGCGAAATAATTCGTTCACCAAAGGTGTCGCGTAAAAGAGCCATTGTGTCCCTCGCAGTGTGCGCTGTGGCTCCATCCTGTTGGAACCATACTTGCGGATGGTTTTCCACGGCTGGCCTTAAAAAATTTTCTAACATTGTCCGATATCGAACACCAGTGATGGAAACGGCGACACCGTGTTCATTTTCAAAAAAATATGGGCCAATTATCCTTTCCGACGAAATACCGCACCAAACAGTACACTTAAGTGGGTGTAATTGTCGCTGTTGAACTACTCTTGGATTTTCCGTAGCCCATATCCTGCAATTTTGCCTATTAACGAACCCATTTAATTGGAAATGGGCTTCGTCGCTCATAATTAAATTATGAATAAAATCATGATTTTCTTCTGCTTTTTGCCGGAAATAAATTGCATAATCAAGTCGTTGCTGGTAATCTGTCGGTTTTAATTCTTGGACAAGCTGAATTTTGTATGGAAACATTCTTATTGTATGCAAAATTCTCTGCAGCGACCCTCGTGAGAGGCCAAGTTGTGTCGAACGTCTCCTGGTTGATGTTTCTCCATCTTCCCGAATACTCTCCTGTACCCGTTCAATATTGTCATCCGTGTGCACCGTTCGTCGTCTGCCGGCACCAGGAAGGTTCCTTACTGCCCCTTGTTGTCGAAAATTTGCAACCAGACGGTTTATTGTTGACTCTGAGGGTCCAACACGCACATTAAAATAACGACGATATGCACGCTGAGTCAAAACAATGGACCGTTGATTTGAGAAATAAAGTTCAACGATTTGAGCACGTTGTTCAATTGTGTACTGTTCCATTTTAAATTCCCCAAGTCTTCTTTACAAAATACTGAAAAGAAATAAAAAAATATATTTTAATAAAAAAAGTTATAAGGAATTCAAACCCCTTCGGTAATTTTGGGTCACCCTGTATTAACTAGGAACTTTGTGCAGGTGTTGCATATATTCTTTCTTGGATATCCAAAAAAAAATTTTAATTCTTCATTAAAGACCTTAGCGAATATCCCGTATGACACTTGATTGTCAGAATGTGCGTTAAAACTTTCATGTAGTTTAGTAATGGATAGATTTTTGTTCCAGGTGGTACGACGGTTGCATCCTTGGCCCAAATAACATTTTTCCTCTGAGGAAATTTTGTAACATCCACAGGCAATTCTTGATCGCCTATGATGCTAACCTGCCCTTCTTTAATCAACACTGTAATCCCTTCTTTATTTAAAAAGTCTTGGCCGATGACAACTGGAATTTGCTGTGCCTGTTTAAGTATTATTATTGCCTGGACTGACTTCTCAATTTGGTCAACTTTTAGGGTTACTTGTATAGAACCCAATCGGACAG